ATATATTATATTAAATATAATATATACAATATGCATTATATTATTATATGATGTATTAGTATTATATATTATATGTAAAATATTGATATATTATGGGAAATATTTCAGCGTATTCTTTTAAAATGTATAAAACAGTTATCTTAATGTGATTTTAAGAATAAAATCCTATACACACATTTGTTCCTGTGGTTAAATTTCTTTTAAGTAGTTAATAAAGTGATCTATACCTGCTGATTGATTTTATTTTGCTGCTCATAAATATTTGGCTGCCTGGGGATAGAACCCCTCTAACCTGTCCCCCCTCCTCTTCCCCTCCTCACCCTCTCTGGCCCTCCCCCTGCCTGCCTCTCCCCTTCCTCACCCTGTCCAGACCTCCAACCTTGGACCTGCCACTGCTCCTGCACCTTCCCAGCCCCACCTGCACACCCTCCCCTGAAGCCCCATTACCTGTGCTTCTTGTCTCTGTCATTGACACCACTTTTCCTCAGCATGAGGCGCTGCTCCACTTTTGCCGTGTGGCCCACACTGGCAGCCTTGTGTACCTTGCCCACGGCCTTGGGGCGGGCTCTGTGCTGCGGATCCCCGCAACTGCCCTGTAGGCCTTAGGGGTCTGAGGGCACCCGGCCCCTACTACTGAGGCCAAATAGCCTCCTAATGGCTGAGGCTATCGGCATCCTAGCCCTCCCGTTCAGCCTTTCTCCAACGAAAAGTTTAGCCAACTGAGCTTGTAGAACAACTACTAGGCTCTGCTGCTGGCTTCCACCTGGGTGGAACCTCTGTTACCAAGCAAAAGGACTAACTGCCTCTGAGCCTGTGGCGCATGCTCACCAGGCCTAACTGCCTCTGCGCATGCGGCGCATGCTCACGAGGCCTTCTCAGTACATAGATGCACCTGTCCATGTGCGACTTCTTCCTTTCCTGTATATTATTTGTATTTCTTTTTCTTGCCTGAGTTCTCTGGATAATGTTTTAAGAACTATAGTGAGAAGGAGTGGTGAGAGTGCACATCCTTATGTTGTTCCTATTTTAGAGGCAAAGCATTCTGCTTCTTCTCACTTAATATGACGGTGATTGTTGGTTTGTCCTAAACTGGCCTTTTTCAGTTTGAGATGAGGTCTTTCTACAACTGTTTGCTTCAGTGATTTTTTTTTTTAA